GACGGGGTTTCACCATGTTGACCAGGATGGTCTCGATCTCTTGACCTCGTGATCCACCCACCTCGGCCTCCCAAAGTGCTGGGATTACAGGCTTGAGCCACCGCGCCCGGCCTCAATTCATTTGGTTTTAAGGCCTGAGGGGAATCCTCTGTGGCCTGCGATTCTTTCCTCTGGGCCTGCTGGAATGACCCCATGCTCTGAAACGGGAGCCAGCCCCACCCTCGTGCGTTCTCTGGCCTCAGAATCAGCCTTCCCTTCACCTCTGTGCCTTTCAGTCCAGGTCAGCAGTGTTTCTGTGGGTGTGAGATTCTCAAGAGCCTTGTTGGCCTCTTGTGCAAGTCATAGGGGTCCAAGCTGTAAAATCAGACTGTTCCCTAGACAACCCCATCTTCATCGCAGGCTTCTGCTGAAAGGGGTGAGTGGACGCACAGGTCACATACCTCAGCTCGAGCAAACGCTTGGCCAGTCACACGCTTCCTGTTCTCTCCAGAGGAGAATTTTCCACATCTTCACTTTCTGGCTCTTTTGTGCTTAACAGTTTCTTCCTCGTGTCTCTCTTACATTTGCTAGCAGCAGCAAGGAGAGATCAGACTATGCTGTCAACACTGTGCTTAGCCATCTCCTCAGCTGAGTACCCAGGTTCGGAACTCGCACTCACACATGCCCCTTTCCACAAAACACTAGAACACAATTCAAACAAGTTCTCTCCCTTTTTTTTTTTTTTTTTTGACATGGAGTCTCACTCTGTCACCTAGGCTGGAGTGCAGGGGAGTGATCTTGGCTCACTGCAACCTCCGCCTCCCAGGTTCTGGTGATTCTCCCACTTCAGCCTCCTGAGTAGCTGGGACCATAGGCACATGCCACCGCACCCAGCTAATGTTTTACTTTTATCTTTTTTTTCTAATACTAAAAGACAAATTTATTACACATAATGTTTTATTTTTTATTATTTATTTATTGAATTTATTGAGACAGACAGGATCTTGCTCTCTCACCCAGGCTGGAAGGCAGTGGTGCAGTCACAGCTCACCGCAGCCTCAGCACCCTGGGCTCAGGTGATTCTCCTCCCTCAGCCTCCTGAGTAGCTGGGATTACAGGCGTGCACTGCCCCACCTGGCTAATTTATTTTGTCTTTTTTGTAGAGACAGGGTCTCACTATGTTGCCCAGGCTGGTCTTGATCACCTGGCCTGAAGTGATGCTTCTGCCTTGGCCTCCCAAGGTGCTGGGATCACATGCATGAATCACCACACCCAACCCGAAAGCACCTTTAACATCACGTTTCTAGCAGTGGTCTGTTCATGATACTCATGTTCTCTGAGATCACAGAGGCTGTCTCTATTGCTTTTCCCTCCTCTCCCCAGAATCACCGTTAACATCCATACTCCTACCACAGTCTCTGAAAGGCAATCCAGACCTTTTCTAATGCCTTGATATGGTTTCAATGTCCCCTCCAAAACTCGTGTGGAAATTTAATTGTCAATGTATTGGTATCGGGAAGTGAGCCTTTTTGAGGTAGTTAGGTCAGGAGGGCTCTGCCCTCGTGAATGGATGAATGCCATTATTCTGGATAGGTCAGTTACTGTGACGTTCAGCCCCCTTTGCCCTGTGTGTCACACGCTTCCTTCCACCTTCCACCTTCCACCATGGGATGACCCTTACCAGATGCCAGTGCCATGCTTTTGGACTTCCCATCCTCCAGAACCAGGAGCCAGATGAATCTGTTGTCTTTAGAAATTACCCTGTCTGTGGTATTCTGTTACGGCGGCAGCAAACGGACTAAGACAAGCCTCTATTGACCACCCAGTTCCGAAGCTGTTTCCACATTTTTAAGTATTTCCTGGAACTGTCATTTCAACTGGGTGGCCAAAAAACCAGAAATGGATTCTCTCCCCATTCTGGAAGCCAGAAGCCTGAAGTCAAGGTGTCAGCAGGGCAGTGGCCACTCTGAAAGTCCTACAGGACGGTCCTTCCTGACCGCCCAGCTTCCAGTGGCCCCAGGCTTGGCCTCTGGCTGTGTCACTCCTGACTACTCCTCCACTGTCCCATGGCTGTCTTCCCTCTGTGTGTCTTTGTCACTTCTGTTCTTAGAAAGACATCAGTCATGTTACATTAAGGACCCAACCCACTCCAATATGACCCCATCTCAATTCATTTCTCTGCACAAGCCCTATTTCCAAACGTCACATTCCGAGATACTGGAGGTTAGAACTTCAACATATCTTGAGGGGACAGAATTCAACCCGTAATAGAAGCCATCCTGTTCCAGTCCTCCTAACCAACCCCCGTCAAACTCGGGAGCCAGGCTGCACGCCTGTTGTCCTCACCTGTCGCGCTGCCTCTGCTTCGGTCAGCCTGTGCGCCTCGTCCCTGCCGCCGGGCCCCCAGCCTGACTTGCTACACCCCTGCTTTGTTCCTGGCTGTGCAGTGACCCAGGCCAGCCCTCAGCATTCTTTCTTTTCTCCCACCAGTAACAGAAAGTCCTTCGGATTTGAGTCCCTGTGGCCTCACCAGAGGCACAGAGCCTATGGAAGTGTCCCCAGCCTTAGCCTGAACCACATCCCCCTACTAGTTGCCAGCTCTGTGGTCACTTGTTCCACCATGTGTTTTGGTCCTGACCTCCCTTCAGATCTCGGGTGACCTCAGGGCCAGGCCCATGGGTAACACCTGCTATCCCTGCCCAGAGCCACGGGCCAGGAAGTACAAGTGTGGCCTGCCCCAGCCATGTCCTGAGGAGCACCTGGCCTTCCGCATGGTCAGTGGAGCTGCCAACGTCATTGGGCCCAAGATATGCCTTGAGGACAAGATGTAAGCTCCCTGGGGTGAAGGGGGGTTGGGGAGGGAGTGGGGGATCTGGGGCCAGGTCTGCAAGGGAGAGTGGAGCAAATGTACCCACAGGGGATCTCCCCTCCCCACCCCCAACTAGGCTGATGAGCAGCGTCAAGGACAACGTGGGCCGTGGGCTGAACATCGCCCTGGTGAATGGTGAGGCCTGGCTGAGCGTGGCCCGCTGCCCTCCTTCCCTGCTCCCTCCCCAGAAGGCCTCTGGGTGTTTGCCCTCCCCCCCCACGCCCCGCTTCAGGATCTCTCTGGGAAGGAATCTGTGCAAGCCGAAGGCTCCACAGAGGAGTGGCCCAGTGAACAAAAAAGCATGATGGCAATAAGGAACTAGAAGGTTCTGGGAGGTTGGCGGGTGCTTGATGGAGAGTCCCCGGAGGGCCTCAAATGCCAGACAGAGGCATGACGGCTTGCAGTGGGATGCAACTGCCTGAACAAATGAATGAATATTGGGGGGCTGTCTGAAAGCTTCCAGAAGGGCTGTCCCGTTACCACCTGCCTTCCGTGCCCTGGGGCTGGCCTGGCTCACCCAGCAGGGTCCCTCCCTCCTGACACAGGGGTCAGCGGCGAGCTCATCGAGGCCCGGGCCTTTGACATGTGGGCAGGAGGTGAGTCACTGCAGCAAAATGGCCCGGGCACCTTCCCCTGAGACACGCCTCTCTCTATCTGTACTTGGGGCTTCTCCGTCACCTCGTTGAGTTCAGAAAGGAGAGGGACATTGCCAGCTTGGTCTAGAGGCTGCAGGAGGTCATGAGGACAAACTCCGCAACTCCCTCTAACCCAGCGCAGGCCTGTAGGGACAGGGACAGGCTTCACACCAGTCTGTCCCTTGGTGGGGCATGTCCCAGGCCCAATCCCTACTTCTGTTTCCTCGTTTGGAGAACGGGCTGGTGGGAAGGGTGCTCAGTGGTCCCTGATGACCCCTGTTCCATGGCATCTACCTCCCCAGATGTCAACGATCTGTTGAAATTTATTCGGCCACTGCACGAAGGCACCCTGGTGTTTGTGGCATCCTACGATGACCCAGCCACCAAGTAAGTGCTTGGGGAGGCCAGCCTCAGCCTTGCCCGTCTGCAGGGACAACTGACACCTCTTCCTCCCATGCTGCAGGATGAATGAAGAGACCAGAAAGCTCTTCGGCGAGCTGGGAAGCAAGAACGCCAAGGAGCTGGCCTTCCGGGACAGCTGGGTGTTTGTGGGGGCCAAGGGTGTGCAGAACAAGAGCCCCTTCGAGCAGGTACGGCAGGTGCCTGGCCTCACCCCCACCAGCTTAGGACAGCCCATCACCCCTTCTGCCTGCATGCCACGAGGTGCCCCTGCTGCTCATGCCCCAGCAGGGGACTGTTCCTGGTCTAGCTGTGAGGGGCACAGCTGGCACCATGTTTCCCTGAGATGGGCGGGGGGGCCAAGTGCCCTGAGAGTGCACCGTTGGCCAACACAGCACAGGTGACTGAAAGCCTAGGCCCTGGTCCACTCCCGCCCCCTGTCCCTGAGGGCCAAGGTGGTGACTTCCTGCTCCCCTGCTCGCAGCACGTGAAGAATAGCAAGCACACCAACAAGTATGAAGGCTGGCCCGAGGCGCTGGAGATGGAAGGATGCATCCCACGGAGGAGCTCGGCCAGCTAGCACAGCCAGCGCCAGGGCCAGGCCGAGGGAGGCCAGGCCGAGGGAGGCACACGCGCTGCCGGGCGGGCAGAGGCCAAGGTCCACACCCCGTGCCTGGGCAGGAGTGCTCCCTGGCCCCAGCACATCAGGGATCCAAGGCAGTGACCAGAACGTGGTCTCAAGGTGGTGGGGGCTGTGGGGACTGCAGGGGCTGGCCCTGCTGCACTTTGTCACGGGAGCCCAGGGTACCTGCCTCCTTTTCCTAATGCTGCGCCTACCAGTCAGCCCATCCAGCCCCATCCTCCATTCCTCATGCCATCTCCATGCCCATACTGAGTGCTGAAACGGCCCTGGGTGTTGGCCCCTCACTGTTCAAGTCTGGAAGCAGTCCCCGGCAGGTTGGGGCATCTTCCAGAACCTCTCCCTTCCAGAGCCACTCTGCACTGCAGGCTAAACGTGTTTCCAGTGCGATTCCTTCCAGTGAGCCAAACCTGGCGGCTGCTTCATGAGCCTGACTGCCTCCTGCCTGCTCTCAGCAGGAAGGGCCCCCTGGAGCAGGCTGGCCCGGGTGGCGAAGTAGCTGGAGCCCGATCACAGTCCCATGGTTTGTCAGGGGCCCACCTTCTAGATGACCCCTTAATAAAGTGATGGCCCCACAGAAGAAATGCCTTCAGACACTGTTGTCAGTGCGGAGTCAGGGGTAGCGGTGTCCTCGAGTGCAGGAGGACAGATTCCAGAGTCTAAGCCAACCTGCTCCCACTGCCACCAGCAGGCCCTGCAGTGACCGAGATGTGACTCAAGCAGTGAGCAGAGCCGCCCCAGCGGGTGCCACCATGGCTTTGTCTGGGAGAGATGATACATCTTCAGGGGCTGCAGGAAACTCCCTCTAACCCAGCGCAGGCCTGTAGAGACAGGGACAGAGATGAACACCAGCCCAGCCCCCCACCGTCACCTGCCTCCTCCAAGAGCACGTCTCCACGGACTAAGGCTGCCTTTGAAGTCGGAGTTGCCAGGGGTGGAGTCACCTGGGCTTTTCGCATCTCTTGAAGTTACAGTTCATACCTCCCTTCGCTGAGCGAGAGCCAGCAAAAAAGCTGGGAGCAATCAAATCCAGAGGTCCAGAAGCAGTCTGGGTTCAGTAAAAGGAGAGAAGGCAGTTCCTAGATGGGAGGCATTGTGGCGTCCTTGAGGGGCCACATTAGGGGCTATGAACGAGCCTTCGACTCAGGGTTCAATGCTGCCAACCCCAGGGAGAGTGCAGAGAACAGACAGGGTCTCAGAAGACAAAAGTGCTTCCAGAGCGGGCACGTGTGGAGTTGGAGGCACGGGGATGCCCTGGAGGAGAGGCTCACAGTGAGGAATGATGGTGATGCCGGGACTGAAAAGGTCACACAGCCAGCACCCAGTCCTGCCTCTGCACCAGGAACTTTCTACATGTATTCCTTTTTTTGTAGGCTTGCTTTCTTTTTCTTTTTTAAGATGGGGTTTCACCATAATGGCCAGGCTGGTCTTGAACTCCTGACCTCAGGTGATCCACCCACCTTGGCCTCCCAAAGTGTTAGGATTACAGGCATGAGCCACCGCGCCCAGCCTTTTTTGTAGACTT